GAAAATGAAAAGTCCTGAATTGGTGACATTACTCCTGATCCTTACATGGAATTGATACTTAAATACTTTTATTTACCTCGTATAACAATTCGTTAGAACAATTCTGAAATTTCTCTGACTGTTCGTCTGCCAGACATCCTCGAAAGCGTGTTCCCTTTATTCGAATGGATCCTTTGATTGTAACTGTGAAAAAAGAAGATGTCACAATTTGGGATACTCGATTCAGTAGATACACACACAGATACTCAGAGACATACACAGTCAGGTGAAAATAAGGCGAAATACCTGTGTTGCTTGAAACACAGACGTGAGACGAGTTTTTGGGGAAAGTGCATGTGTTGTCGCCACAACACTTGGAATTAGACTGACACACGTTGTCACTCCATTTGTGGCCTAACAGGCAGCGACACTCTCTTTGATCTGTAACGTCCTTACAGGCTAATTAGAGAAAACAAAGTCTTACTCTTTTCTTTAAAACAATCAATGGAAACATTTGAATATTAGAACATTGATTACTTGTCGTCATTTGCAGTTCGTCAGCATGCCGGATGGAATCATTCACGAAAAATGGCTGCAAGTTGGTTAGGTTTCCAATGGCACTTTTCTCTATTGTCAGTTTGACATAATACATTTGTGTTGAGGGGGCTGAAACTTGCAGAACACACAGAAATCAAAAGATGTTTAAGAAATGAAGGCTAAAAATATGATTTGCTGATTTTGAAAGTCATATAAATCATTTTACCTCCTCCAGTTGCCTGTGGGGGTCAAAGGAAATAATTAATGTGAATGTTATTTTATGTTGCAGTTTAATTTCAGGTAAAATTCTGTGTTACTGACCAACCTGAGAAATGTTTAGTCCCAGAGTATACAGAAATATAAAGACCCACATCTTGTTCATGTTCCTGCAAATTATAAATGACATCAAATCATTTGAAATGGACTCTGTTAAACAAGACGACTGATGATAGACGCTCAGTGACCACTTTATTAGGTCCATCTGTCCAACCTGCAACCTTTATTTTACTTTAAGTTCCATTTAGTAGTTAAATGTGGTATTGTACTATGTCTCGAACATTTTGTCCCCACCATTTACATACATGAAGGATGAAGAACATTAAACACACAATCTAAGCACAAACAAGTTTATCAAACACAGGCAAGAGTCCTTACAGTATTTAAAGTAGTCTCCCTATTTCGCATAGGCAGTAAACATAACATGTATAACACACTATAGACGTTTTAAAAGGTAGTAGTATAACATGACAACAGTGAATACTTGCCTGTTTTCCTCTGTTTGTATTAGTGATCCATCACAGCAGCATCTCAGGATGAAGGATCTGAGCTGATGCTGCTGTAGCCGCTCATATGGAAACAAAGAACAAAACAGCAGTCACTTCCCAGGACGCTACAACTTAAATACTGCAGGAGGACATGCAAAGTTGTCAAACAGGACTCATTTGACTTTCAAAAACTGAAACAGACACATGGTGTTTGAGATGTGGAGATGGCTAATCAGTTATAGAAACACG